TCCTCACGTCTAGTTGGTATTCAATCCTAGCCAAGTAACCACGTATTGATGCAGTGAGTGTCAGTCCAAAAATGTTACTTCCTCTGGGCGGAATTAATCACCGGAAGTTTATATGATAGGTCATATGATTACCAATAGGTTTTGATGTGAGAGAGCGACATTGAATTATAAAGTATCTATTTATTGCCGAACAGCAGAGCACTGCCTCGGTCAGACGCTGCTAATAGCGCTACTGCAGACTCGTACAGTTCTCTGCTACACTTCAAACTGGTAGGAAGACACTTGGCTCTACGAAGTTTCGCCTTCTTTAAATGCGGGAGCTTGTATACGTTGCCTCCCTTTTCACGTAGAATCGCCAGCATGCACGCCTGAAGGGTCAGGAAAATGTCGTTCACGGTGTCACTTTTCAGCTGGCTGAAAGCAGTGTTCACGGACTCGATGAGGGCATCAATTCCTTTCCTGGGGATGTAGTACTGGAGGGTCTGCATGGCGTTGAAAACGCCCAGATCGAGGTGTTGAGATCGGGCGAATTGGGTGCTTGGCATAGCATTCGGATGCTCCAGCCTCCCTCTTGACCAGCTTTGACGACGTCCGGGTCCCATGGCTCCACGTGAAGCTTCGCATTATCCTGTTGAACAAGAATTAGCATGTGGTGATCCTTTCGTGGCCACTGCGCCTTAATAGCTGGAAATACTTTAGTAACCAAGTACTCCCTGTACACCTCACGATCGACTGTGTCAATGTTTCGGGTGCAAACGGCTCCTTTAGCACTGTTCTTGCTAGAACGTTGAGCTTCGTACTTCTCTGTAAAGGACCAAATGCCAAGCTTGCCATCCCATTGCTGCTTTCGATGAGGGTCGTACCTATATATCAAATGTCAAAAGTTATAGCTTTTGAAAAAGCAAATATTATCAGCTTACCGAGGCCGCGCCAAGGCAGCCAGGAACATCGTCTTCGGGATGAACCGCTTGCTCTTCCAGAACCTAGGAGGCGGCTTCTCGCCCTCTAGCACCAGGTAAGAACGCTTGCCACGGTCGGAATAGAACCATTTCTCATCAACGTGTACAACATTGTGCATAGACTCAAATTCCAGTGTCCTGTCGTCGATAAACGACAGAGCATGCTCAACGCGTCGGAGCTTGTTTTCTGGAGTCAACGCCGGCTTAATGAAAGTCGTACGACGCTTGAGCATTCCCTTCCTTACCGCCTGTCGCACCAAATTCCTGGAGACGCCAGCAGCAGCGGCAGCACGTCTTTCAACAGCTCTATCCTCCATGGGAACACGGGCAAGTTTTTCACGCAATTCATCGCGATTCTTGCGCTTCCTGCCGCAGTGTCGCTTCCTCCTGCTCTTCCACTCATCCCCTACGACTCCTGCCTCGACCGCAGCAACGTAGCGCTTCCAGATAGTGCTGATAGTGGTCGGATCACGCTCCACACCCGAGGCCACCTTTGCGTATGCTCCACGAGGCAATTTGCCGTTTTCGCTGATCCGAAGAAGCTCATCGATGACAGCCTTGCGCTCTACATCACTTAAGTAAGGTTTCCCCATGGTTTCGTAAGCATAGACACAGTCCAGCAGTCGTGGCGGGTGCAGCCCCAACGAAAATCCCGAAGTGACTGTGTTGAAAATGTTGTAGCTCCTGCTAGCGGGCTCCGTTTGGCCCGAAACGGGTGGTGTTGGAAAGAGGAGACGCTGCACCGTCATTTCCGCCAATCCAGAACGGATAAAACGCGCTAGAAATGAAGTTATTGGTCAAAACGTCTGTTTCCGGTGATTAATTCCGCCCAGAGGAAGTAGCATTTAATCAAAACTATCACTACCCACCTCATAGCTTTTGCTGCACTCAAGTTCTCACCAAAAGTTTCTGTCTCAATTGCATCCGCCTCGGTGGTCATCCTGGTTCGATAAATGACACAAATATCACGCACCTGGCTCCGGCCGGAACGAATTCGGATTGTCGGACAGCGCTTAGGTAGGATTCGCACAAACGCGCTGTGTGAGGAGCGCGGCGTGTCCACGTAGTGATC